TTTATGGGAACTTGAATTGATGGTAAAAAAAAAATCAACTCTCATTAAATGAGGTAGGTTTATAGTAACAACTACTTACATTGAATAAGGGTATTTTAGAAAAATTAAAATACAACTACATTCTTCAATTGGAAAGTGGACTACAATTTGGGACAGATGAAAAAAGAATACAGGACTATCAAAGTGGGACGAAGGGAGTATCAATTTATGTTCTGTACTTCAGTTGTATGAATTGATAGAATTTTCGGTGTAAACTGATACAATTTTGATACAAACATGAATTATAACTGAGTTGGTATGAAACTCACGATTATACTAAAAACAATATTGATTAATCTTTCCTACACTGTCAGTTTTGGATGATTGATAACCATGCAAAATTTGAATTTAGAATCCAACTTTTGCACATGTATCATGAATCTAACGATGATAGTGTATACACTATTAGTATATATAAAATTGTGTCAATTTATACAATTAGACGGCTAGATAGAAATAAACAGAACCTCAAAGAGGCCCTGACCCTTGGAGGATATCAAAAACTCGTCAAGTTATTTAATCCACACTTAATTCAGTGTCGTAATAGAAACAAATTCTTGTAGTTGTTGGTGAGAAGTGTGATTACAGCAGCATAACACTACAAAAACATGTCACGAGATGTTACAAGACAAATGCCAACCTCTTTCCATGAGTCCTCTCTGACTCAGTTAATGCCCTTTTTCCTAAGCCATTAATAGTCGCCTTACAGCATTCTTCCCCCACCCCCCCACCCCCCCCCCCCCCCCCCCCGGGGGGCGCCCAAAACCATATTATTCCTATAAATCAGAGCTTTTAAGCAAACCAAAGCTTCCATTTACATTTTTTTCTGCAAACTCACATCTTCAATGGCTTCTACTCCCCATGAGTCATTGAAGTCAGCAGCAGCAGCACAGCTTCTCACATTTTTGCTTTTCACCCTTCAGTTTTCTGGTATTCCGACTAATGCACTGAATATTGGTTTGCAATTAGATCCAGGCGTCAAATTGGTTTGCCCTCCAACTTCCTCCTCTGTTTAAATCACCCCTTTTGCTTCTCCTTTCAATAATTCCTGTTCTTGAATTTTGTAGAAAAAAGAGTGTAGCAGTACATGTGAATCCACGTTCTGTGGAGGTAAAGAATCTTCCCTCTCAAATCCCTCTCAGCTTTTGTTAAATTTTTTTCAAGAAAATCGATCAATTTCTAAGTTTTCTTGGAAATTTTATTGAATTTGCAGTTGCTCCATTTCTAAGATATGGGAAGTATTGTGGGCTTCTGTATAGCGGTTGTCCAGGGGAGGCGCCATGTGATGGTTTAGATGCTTGCTGTATGGCGCATGATAAATGCATTCAAAGCAAAAACAGTAAGCCTTCTTATTTACTCCCTCCGTCCCACTTTGATAATCCAATTTTTTTTTTTGGTCTGTCCCAAATTGTAGTCCATTTTCCAATTAAAGAATGTAATTTGATAATCCAGTTTTCCTTTTTTCTGTCCCAAATTGTAGTCCATTTTTCAATTAAAGAATGTAGTTGTCTTTTAATTTTTCTAAAATGCTCTTATTTAATGTAAGTTGTTATTACTATAAACTACTTTATTTAATATAGATTGTTAGTATTGAATATAACCTATCCCATTTAATGCATTTAGATTTTTCAAAACATATTGATATATGAAAAATCAACTTTATTTAATGTAAGGGTATTTTCTAAAGTTAACTATTTTTTCTTAAACTGTGTGAAAAAAAAACTAGAACTATCAAAATGGGACAGAGGGAGTATCAAAAAAGTGTAATTATAACAATTTTGGTAGTGGGGTATTTATCTTGAATTGCAAGATTAATAGCCGAAAGGGGGGGGGGGAATAAAGGCTCTGTTTCAGTGATAGTTGGTCAAATTTTTTTAATTAGTATTGATTTTTCAAGAAAGATAATAAGGACAAAATAAAACACAGAGCAGGTATGTGTTTAAGCAAGTATATACTTTTATAAATTTATTGTAGATATAAATATTGTTCTTGCACAGTAACTCAATAAATAGAAAAAATAGATATACACAAATCTAAGAAAAATACACAATTCCACGAAATGATGACCAAACGGTTTAAACCACTAGCTCTTAGCTTAGTGGCCACCACCAAAGTTGATGGAGTGGTGGGGTGGGAGGTCAGGGGATCAAGCCCTACCTACCTAACCTCCCACCATTGGCCCCAAAAATGTGGCAAGCCACTTCGAATGGCTTTCTAGACGAGTGTATCGTATCGACAAAAAAAAAAAAAAAAAAAACCAAACGGTTTAGCCTGAAAGCATTCAGCATAAAAAAGCACTTTCGCTAAGATTTTGGAATCCTTGAAAAACGTGAACAACTTGGAGTGAGTCAATTCCCTTTTATGGAAGAAAGAAGGCACCTTGGTTGAGTCTGAGAGCCTGTTGCAAGAAAAGACCAAATTGCTGTTAAATGCCAATTTTCGCAACACAAGTAATGTTCAAATTGCTATTAAATACCAATTCCTTTTTATGGAAGAAAAAGGCACCTTTGGCTGAGTTTTGAATCAGATGATTCTCACTCTGATATTCTTATTGAAGACGTTATTTTTCATTTGTATAATTTCTTAGCTTGGGAGGTTTCTTGGACTTTTAGAAATAACAATACAGTCGCTCACCTTTTAGCTAAGAATATATAATGAATTCCAAATTCTTGTATGTGGAATGACTCTCTATCTTCCTTTGTTATTTCTGCTCTTGAAGCAGATATAGTATGCTATTAATAAAATTTGCCTCTCTTTATTTATATATATATATATATATATATATATTGCCTTTATCCATAGAGTAGCATTTTTCATCAAACTGGATCATTGATCCATAGACAATTCTGCATTCTTGTGTTTGTCACCTGTTGTTTATTATTAGTATTTTTCCAGAATGTGCTGTAATGCTATCATACTGCAAAGAACAGGTGCATAAGGTCTGAGTACAATTATATGACTTTTACACCAACTTCTGTGATAGCTACTAAATACAACAACTAAACAAAATTGAATTGAACCATGGCAGCAAGGGCAAGGCCCAGACAGACACAAAATTTTACCATTCAAATCATAGTTTAGTGCATTAAATTATGAAGCCCACAAAGGAAAATCCCAAAAAAAAACAAAAGAAACTAATTTATCGCGTGTCCCTTTTTTGTTTTTTGGATAAATTATATTTTACCCCCCCTGTGATTTAGCCTTTTTTTTACTCCGTTACTAATGATCTTTCCCGTCACTTTGACACTTTAATCCAAACCATAAAGGGGTTATGTATAGTTTTTGAAACCATAGAGGGATTATATAAAAAACTGCTAAATCACAGGAGGGGTAAAGTGAAATTTACCCTTAGTCAATCGATAACATTTACACTTATACTAGCCTGTACTAGGGGAGGGTCCAACTTTAGAAACTCATATTTTTACATTATATTTTTTGTATTTGTATTTGTATTGTGCAGATGACTATTTTAGCCAAGAGTGCAACCAAAATCTCCTCAATTGCGTGAATGGATTCTACAAGTCAGGTGCACGAACTTTTAAAGGGAACACTTGTTCAGTGGATGAAGTTGTTTTCCTTATGAGAAAGGTGATTGGTGCAGCCATATTGGCTGGAAGAATATTGCATCATAAACAAGATGGAGTGTAGAAATCTGTTTTAACTTTGTTGTTAATTGTAAACCTTAGTATCCTTTTGCTCTCTTTTGGTTCTAATTCTTTTATTTTTGTCAACAACTGTTATTAAAATGAAATCCAAATGGACTGAAGTTTGTTTTTCCTTACTTGTTTCACAATTTTGTGACCCTTTGAGTGAAAAATGAAAATAGGAACAAGTTTCAACCAAGGTCTGATAGACAAAGTTCATAAGGAGGAGTGAACTTTGAGAAACCTTTGCTGTTTTTCTAGCTTTCGAGCCATTGGGAGTCTTGGGAAAATTGCCAAAGTAGTTTCTCACATTTTGTTCTGTCGATATTTGTGGTTTGTACTTCTATAACACTTCACTTTTAAAATGATGAATTGGTCCCTCACAGATCCAAAACCTTCATCCCAAACTTGTTTTTGGTTACATTTGCCTAAAATTAATAAACACGTACACCAATTTTTTGGACCATGAAAAGAGCATCCACCCAAATTTTAAACGCAAAAAGTTGCATCTTAGTTATACATGGTTAAATTATCGTTAAAGAATACCATTACCAATCAAGCTTGAAAATCTTCTAGTTCTAAAAATTAAGACTCTAGAATCCTTCCTTGTAATCTGTGATTTTTTTCCTTCAAAACCACTTAAAAGGAATCAACTCACAACAATCTGGATTGTCAACACATCTAGCTTTTTTGGGTCAATTCATCCAAGGTACATTTGAGTCAGAGATTGAGCTCTCGCAATTCCTTCAAAGTTGCTCGTTTCATTGCCTTCTCTTGTGGAAGGTTTACCTTTTCCTCTTTATTCTTTGAAATCTTGAATGCTTCAAGTTAGTTATCATTGACTCTTTCATATTTGAACTTTCAATGCCCACTATGTTAAATTCACGTCGACTATTGGGGTTGGTCCAGTGATTTGTTGTCAGCTTTAAGGTTCGAATCGTGGGCTTTTTTGCCGTCTTTATGCCAGCAACGATGCTAAACTCCATGTTTTACACATCTCAATATAAAAACTCATTAGAACGGCTCAATTCACAAGCCGGCACATTTTAATGGGTTTAGAATGAAAGAAATCAGATGTGCATTTTTAACAATTTAATACCTTAATTAAATTTCACAAAAATAAACTTCTTACAAAAACCAAAAGAAAAAAAACAGAGACATCTGTACATCTGTTCGATGCAGACGATGGACATAGTAGCCGAATAGAGTGCCAAATTTAATAGCGGGTCCTCCGGGGAATTGTCTCTTTTGAGAGCCCTGCTCTAAATTTGCTTTATAGTCTGTGGAAAAAATCAAAGAGTACTAAGAAAGGAAGAAATGTTTCCTACTTGTGTTGATTGTGTATTGAAAACACTGGAACTGCAGCTGGCCGATCCATGCTTAACTCTTCCAAGGAAACATCCAATCCAAAATCTTCAGATGGAGTTAAGGTTCCTGAAGTGCTATTTCTGGTGCTTTTCAACGCTTGCAGGTGCGGATTTGAACTTTCCCATGAACAATGTTTGGGCCGGAATTGATTTTAGTCTTTCTATAAACTACAAGAGATATTATACACATTTCGATAGTGCTGTGTCCACAGCACTAGCAAAAGTTCAGCTTTATAAGCCAAAGATCAGAAAATCCTGTATTGCTTTTTTAGAACGCTCATCTGTATTAATCCAGCCTCGCAAGATTTATGATATGGTTGAATTCCTAGACTGCATCATCGAGAATCTGGAGTATCTTGTCAGCTCAAAATACAACATGAATCTTCGGGTGAAGGAGCAGATGGGAATGGGATCCTCGGAAGAGAAGCTCAGGTTGTTGAGATCACTTCTTGTTCTCGCGGAGATAAGGTGCAGTAGGCATGAAATTTTGATTGATCATCTCTTGGTTCACAATCAAGCTTGGATTAATAGCATTGCTTGCCAATCACTTTTGCTGTGGATAGATCCTATGGATCAGAACAATCAGAAGGTGATAGAAATGCATCTCCAACATACTTATAGTTCTGTGACAGCTAAAGTCGTTGGTAGCTACATCGATATATTCTTACGAATTCTACCAGCTTCCATTAGAGATTATAATTACAGAGAAATTCTTGATGAGGGGCTTATATTCTTGATTGCTCTTGTGATGGAATCACCAAAGAAAGGGGTTCTGATACCAACAGGTGTCTCTGTCGATGAGGTTAGATTTCTCATGCACTCATTCCTTTCAGGGAGGAGGAAAGAGCACATTGCAAAAGATAGGGATGTTTTTCCAGATTATGTAGAAGAATTCTTATTGGAGATCAATAAAGTCAAAGCAAAGGCAAGGGAGTTTTATACCCAAGATATTCATAAGTTGAGGTGGTTCAGGTCTCCCTTGACAAATGGAATTGGATTTATTGATTCTCTGTTGGAAAAACTGAAGGAAACATTGGAGGGCAAGGCAAAAGTGCTTTCCTTTGGAAGACATCAAGTTGGAGTAATCCAAGAGGAGCTGAAATCCGTCAGGCCAGATCTCGACAATATATTGGAGCTGAAAAATGACTCTGAGGAACTCAGTGCTCTTTGGACACAAATTGTCAATGTGGCATACCGGGCAGAACATGTTATTGACTCTTGCTTGATTGGAGATGGTCAAATTTCCTACCATGTTATATGTCTTTCTGATATCATAGAAGAAATTAAGCTCATTAAAAATGAGTTTAGGAAAATCAGAAGGAAGGAAGTCTACATCAGAAAAATCAGTGGCAACAAGGACTCAAGTAGGACGCTTCCAGCTCGAGCTAATACTTCAAAACTTGATGAAATTGTGGTGGGGTTTAAAGATGTAGCAGAAACAATAATGGATAAACTCAGGGGAGGATCAGCACGGCGTGACATTGTTACAATTGTGGGCATGGCAGGACAAGGTAAGACAACTTTGGCTAAGACAATTTATAATGATCCTTTAATTCAGTATGATTTTCACATAAGTGCCTGGTGCTGCATCTCTCAAGTATATAAAAAGAGAAAGTTACTGCTTGACATTTTAAGTCATATTGTCACACGTGATACAATAATTACAATGAGTGATGAAGACCTAGGTGAACGGCTTTGGAAATGTTTGAAGGGACATAAGTACCTCATTGTTATAGATGATATTTGGGATAGCAAGGCCTGGTATGACATAGAAAGATTCTTCCCAGATGACAACAATGGAAGTCGAATTATGTTTACGTCTCGAATCCACGATGTGGCTTTGCAAGTTAAGGCCAACTCGAAACCACATCATCTTCGTCCACTATCTAATGACGAAAGTTGGGAGTTACTTGAAAAGAAGCTGCTAGAAAAAGGTGATTGTCCATCACATTTGTCCGAGGTTGGTGAGCACATTGTGAAACTGTGTAAAGCGCTACCTCTGGCAATTGTTGTTATTGCAGGTCTCCTTACAAGGGAGACACATAACCTCTGTTTTCAAACTCGGACCGGACCGGCCGGTTCGATCGGTCGAACCGGGAACCGGCCAGTTGACCGGTCCGAGTTAATCTTAAAAACCGGGAAATCAACAACTCGGTCAAACCAGGTCAAAACCCGGGTTTGACCGGGTTTGACCCGGTTTGACCGGAAAAATGAACCCGGTCTCTTTTTTCTTTTTCTTTTTCTTTTTTTTTTTTTACTTTTTTTGAAAGGGCAGAATATTTTTAATATGATGTTTTGATCCTTAAGTTGTTAAAAATTATTAACATATCTCAAATATTTCATACTTTATAAATGTTGTCTTAAAGTTTGGTGTTATTTTTCAATTAAGTCCATAATTTTAATTCTAAACTTGTTAATGCTTATTCAATAATATAAATTGTTACTTGATTGCTCTAATTTATTTGTATTTTCTTATTAAATATATTTGAAACATCAAATATATATGAATATACCTTTATTAATATTAACATGTTATTAAGTATTTTACATATAATATTTTAATTTTTAAATAAATTTTATTTATGACGTCATCCGGTTCAACCCCTATCGAACCCGGTTGAACCCATTGACCCCTGACCCCTGAGCTCGACCGAGTCGATATCCGGTCCGGTTCTGAAAACATAGCACATAACAAGATTAATTGGAAGCAAATATCTGAACATCTAGGTTCAAGACTTGCAAGTGAAGGGTACATGGACATATTAGAGCTAAGCTACATGCATTTACCGGATCATCTGAAAACATGTTTTCTTTACTTTGGAGCACTTCCAGAAGATAAAGTAATTAGCGCTCAAAAGTTGATCAAACTATGGATTGCAGAAGGATTTGTACGAAGAACTGGGATAAAGAGATTGGAAGATGTGGCCAAGGAGTACTTTATGGATTTAGTCAGGAGAAGTCTAGTAATTGTTACAGGAAGAAGTTCCACAGGCGGAATCAAAACATGTTACATTCATGATCTTTTCCGTGATTTGTGCTTAGCAAAAGCAAAAGAAGAATACTTTTTTCAGTTGGTCAGCATCTCTGGTGGACATGATCTTCCTCATTTTTTACTAAATCCCGTTAATTATGACCAATATCGGTTAATGGTTTATGGCGATTGGGATCATTTTGTCAAGTCCAGACCTCATGGCCTTCGCATCCACTCTCTTCTATTCTTCGCTGCAAATTCTTTGAATCTATTCCCTTGTTCTAATGCCTCTATATCTTTTGACAGATTCAAGCATCTTAAGGTGTTACATTTGGGCGGCATTTTTTTGGCAGTTATTTTCCAACTGAAATTACAGTGTTAGTTCTATTGAGATACTTGGAAATCAGGGGCATGTTTAAAAATGTCCCTTCATCAATAGTGAACCTCAAGACCCTTGAAACTCTTGTAATCAAATCTGTGACATCGATTGTGTTCCCAGCTATCATTTGGAAGATGAAAAGTTTGAGGAATGTGGATGTCAAAACTGACTTTGTTTTTGCTGAGGATTATGACAGTTTTGATTCATTATCAAACCTGGAAGTTCTGTCAACAATTAGGATTTCTCATCCACAAGTTACAATGAAGCTATTTGGAAGGTTACCAGCACTTCGAAAACTCAGCTGCATATTCGTAAAATCACAGTCAGGCGTCAGCTGCCCTTTTGAGTATCGATCATTGTTCGACTCCTTGAGAAGGCTAGAGTCCTTGAAAATAATTCAATGGGAAGCTTCATGTCTCGAGTTTGATCAATTCCGAGCATTTGGAATTCCAAGAACTCTCAAAAAGCTGACTTTGTCAAGGCTTGGCCTGCCCTGGTGGGCAATTTCAGCAATTGGACAACTATCCAATCTTGAGGTTCTCAAATTAAGAGAACATGCTTTTGCAGGTCCAAAATGGGACGTAGAAGATGTACAATTTCCAAACCTCAAACACTTAGAACTGTACAATTTGAACATTGAAAAGTGGATTAATGTCTCAACTGAGTCCTTCTGATAGGTTGCAATTTTGTCATTTATTTTATTATTAATTTCCCCTATTACCTGACTTGATATGGATTAATTATTAGATTCTACTCACTTTTCGTAATTTGCATTTATTTCAGGGAGTAGATCGAAAATACCATAATAAGAGCCAATTTGATGATTATCAGGAAAGAGTTCAAATAGCAGGCAATCAAGGGCATTCTTGGAACGAGGAGATGCAAGACCTTTTTGGTAATTTTGACCGAAGATAGCAACTAGAAAAAGGGGAAAGAAAGAAAACCTCTGGAGCTTTTTCCCTTCCTCTTGTGCGGCGGACGCCGCACAGTAGCGGTAGGCTACTTAGAATAGGAATGAAGATTGGAGGAGTAGAGCACTAGCTTGGAGCTTTGGTTGACTTAGACCTTTGGACTTCCTTTTGCTTTTCTTCTTACGCATGTCAGCCATGAGGCACTGAGTAGTTTTTGTATCTTTGACTTTTCTTTTGCTTCTTAGTAGTTTTTTGTCTCCTGGGATGTCAGGAGCAATTGGGTGCAATTGAATGATTTTGCCGTGGCTTTTCTCCCAAACACAGAAGATGGCCGCAGCTTTTGCTTCAGTTTCGTACGTTTTGTTCTCATTAAACATGAACTAATTTCTCCACTCTAGTCAAGGAGCAACGAAGGCTTTGGGTCGCCTACAATTGTGAGATCGATTTAATTTTATCTTTTTCTCTTATTTATTGGTATTCGCATATTTCCTGGTTACAGTGCTTATGATTGTTTAATTAATTGATTGTCTTGGATCCGGATAATTAGTTAATTTGGTAATCTATTGTCAATTGGGACGTTAAATCCGTAATTGTTTAATTGTCTCAAAATAGTGATAACTGGCATGATTGGGTTTGTGTCAGGGGGATACGCGGGCTAATCTAAAATAACCCTGGTAGTGCGTTATTTGATTAGAATAGGGCTCCTCTAATACGTAAGGCAATTGGGGAATTAAATTCTATGGGCGTACCTAGGATTATTTCTCAATTAGAGCAGTGATTAACGGGCGTACCTTAATCATCGACACAGTAAGGAGGGGTTGATTGTCATCGCTTGTTTGGCAGTTATAACCTATTTATTAGTAAATAATTGGAATTGTCTCTGCTTATCGATGATCAATTAGGTGAACCATTGCTGAAGTTATTTCTTGGCTAGATCCTTAATTATCACTCATTAGACTTTAGTAAATTGTTATTTAATTTCTAGTTGGCTATTTTATTTTTATTATTTTACCTTTAGTTGATTTGTTTAAATTGTCACTCCTGATATAAAACACCCCCTTGTCACTGTGAATTTGGAAAGGAACAATTACTCCCAGTCCCTGTGGATTCGACCCTGCTTACTGCTATCTACAGAAATTACTTTTAGTTTGAGCAGGTTTTATTATTGCACAGGCTTCGACAACCTGCCAATTTTTGGCGCCGCTGCCGGGGACTGGCGCTAGTTATTTGTTTCTTTTTAAGTTCATCTTGTTTTCATTTTTTTTTATAGTTTATGGCTGCTAGCATTCCATATTTTGATGATAGACCGGACTTTGTTCCTGAATGGGGTTATGAGACTCAGGTTTTTCCTAATGATCAATGGGCTGTTGCAAATTGTGGAACTTATTTTGACTCAGGTTATTCAACTGACACATGCCCCGCATTTCAAGACAATCTAAGTGCTCCAATTGATACTTTCGGAGATTTTCCACCCCAATATCAAATGCAGTATGACCCTTATTCAAACGGGTATGATCAAGGATGGTGGGATAATTCCAGTTTTGATTATGCGACCGGGCCAATGGATTTTCAACAGCAAGAGTCTCAACAACCATCGTCCCTGTCAGGGTACCAGCAGCAATACCAACCCCGACCACCTCCGCCCCCTCAATCTGGTTCATCTACGGAGGAGATGCTGAAACAAATAATGACAACCATGGCGCAAAATCAGCAAAGGACGGAGGCAGCTATTATGCAAAATCAGCAAAAGACGGACTCCGAAATGCAGGACATAAGGAATCAGATAGGTCAATTGGCCACCAGAATGAACCGTTTGGAGTCCCAGAACCAAGGGAAGCTGCCATCTCAACCGGAGTTGAATCCGAAGAACGGGAGCGCAATGATCCTAAGGAGTGGGAAAGAGGTTCAAGGGTCTGAGCCTGTGATCCCTAAGGACAAGGATGAGGAGATGCAAGAGTGTCAAAATGAGAAATCTACAGATGCAGTTGAAAAAGAAGCCGAAAAGGAAGAAATGGAACCCCAACCGCAACCCATTCAAGTGGAAGAATCCAGTGAAGAATCATCAAATGTGGTGACACCACCTCCATTCCCTAACCCGCATTTTCTTAACTCTGACTTTATGATTTCTGTTAATGAGATTAACTTTGTTATACCGGAAGTTCTTGAGTCTCATGGCAGGAATGAGTTAAGAGTAGCTATGGTCAAATACCTTGAGCCGTTGAGTGCTCTTGATGGAGGAGTGGATGAAGAATTGAAATCACTGCTTGATTATTTGGCGCCATCAACTAGTCCATGGAAGCCCGTAACTCGTATGCTCAAGGATTACTCTATTTACGAGGGTTATCAGGACTATATAGAGGATGAAGCATTAAAACGAGCCACACGATTTTATCCTCCATGAACAAAACATGGCAACGTCTAGCCAAAGACATTAAAGAAAGGCGCTCATTGGGAGGCAACCCAATTGTTTCTTTTAGTTGTTTGTTGGTTTCGTGTCATAGTTTGAATCTGTTTTCCTTGAATTTGACTGATTTTGGGTGTTAATTTTCGTTTTTGCTGATTTCTAGGTGACCTTCACTCATGACGCGCCCGCGTGGTGACGTGCGGGAAGCTCACGATCAGGAATTTCTGAAACTTCTGGGAGCTCTCTTGGCCTCATGACGCGCCCGCGTAATGATGTGCAGGAAGCTCACGATCAGAAATTTCTGAAACTTCTGGGAGCTCTCGTGCTCTCTTGACGTGCCCGCGTCACGTTCGCGGGAAAGGTAAGATTCAAAAAAAAAAAAAAAAATTTTTTTAAAAAAAACATTGATTCCCGTAGAAAAAAAAACAAAAAAAAAAAACAAGAAAAAAAAGAAAGAAAAAAAATATTTCTCACCGTAGCTCCAATGGAGCCTAAAAAAAAATCTTTTTTTTCTTTTTCTTTTTCCTTCTTTTCTTTTCTTTCTTTTTCTTTCTTTCTTTTTTCTTTCTCTTTTCCTCCTTTCTTCTCCCCTGTTTCTTCTTCTCTTTCGGCCGAGCACACCTCTTGGCCGCCGCCATCTCCTTCGCCCACGGAGACGCCGCTGCCCGACGCCATTGACGTGTGCCTCCTTTCCCCCCTGGCGTCCTCCACAGCTCCTCGGTCCGCCTCCAACCTCGCTGCTCCACCCAGCTCATCCGCCTCCAGCAGCACCAGAGGCAGCGCCCACATCGCGCCTCCACCAGCGACGACCAACTCGTGCGCCGCCGCTGCTCACCAACCACGCCGCACGCGGCCATGAAGCTTCGTCGCCCACGACCAGTTCGCCAGGCCCAAGCCGCTGCCCGCGCTCATCTCTCTCTCTCCGCGAGCTCCGCCACCAGCTCCTCGCAGCTTCTACCTCCACCACGGGCAGCTTCACTTCGCGGCCAGGAGCTGCCGCAAGCCAGACAGAGTGCCGCCCATCTCCCCCTTCACTGACCAGTCCGCCGCCGCCTCTCCCTCACTCGACGTCCACGCTGCCATCGCCCACACCAGCGGTCACCCTCGCAGCCAAGACGCGCCACCAATCTCCCCTAGCTCTCCTCCACTCTGCCCAGGCTCCACGACCACAACCACCACTTCTCCTCCTGCCCAGCAGCGCATCTCCCGTTCTCCTCCATTGCCGCACGTCATCACCTGTCAAAATTGACAGGTGGAGGTATTGTAATTTCTTCCCCGATTAGCATAAATTTCTGGAATTTGTGTTTGGGTTTCTGATGATTAGAAGAAGGTGTTGTTTTGGGAAAATTCTAGGGTAAAATTGTGGACGGAATTGGGTTTAATTGCTGCCATACGTGGGGATATTTCCTGATATTTATTGAGTTGCTGCTGTTTGATTTAAATCCTCCCTGTGTGTACACCAGTGGTACTGGTTGTGGTGTTGACTAAAATTTCTTAATCCTTTATGCTTGACTGCCTACTTGATTCTTGGGTTTTAGTGCTTAAATTGTTTCTCAAATTCTAAACGGTGGTTGCTAGAATTGCCAGTTGCTTGGCTCAATTGCTAATTTTGGTCGGTTGAATTGGGTAATTAAATGTCCAATTGGTGACATTTGTTGAATTTCACTTGCTCCAATTGGTTGAATTCTTTGCTGTGTTGGGGTCCCTGTTGGTATCACTTGAGTTCTGCTTTGTTAGTTTCTGTATCATGCCCCTTAATCTTATTTTGACTGAATGGGTGACCCAGTGCATATTCATTCAATTTGCGGTGTTGTTAGGGTACTTTTCTAGCCTTTGGGGTTCCTCAGTTGTGCTTTTTATTCATTGGGTTGGCCATGTGGTTCCCTCCTTTCCTGTGTATACACCAGTGGTACTGGTTGTGCTAATTTGCTTACAATTTCTTATTTCGATATGATTGAGCATCTGTGACTGAGTATCCTTCGATCTTTCTGCTTTGTTGGGATCGTTTTTGGTGTCAATCGAGTATCATTTGGTACCTTTTGCCTGGAGTCTATTGAGCTGCCTTTGGTTGGGGTTTATTGCATTTAATTGATGCATTGGACGGCTCCTGTGCCATTTCCGTTGCTTATTGAAGTAGGTTGCCTCTATTTGCCTTGGGAGTTATTTGCCCAATTGACTACCATTTTGGTCTTTTCGATTTCTGGTACTGCTTGGCGTTGCTTGGAATTATCAATACTTTGGGTTGGTCATTTGCTTTAATTTTTCCCTGTGCCTCTACCAGTGGTACTGGTTGGAGTAATTGGACCTGGATTTGTTACTTTTATTTGGTTGGTTGCCTGCCTAATAGCTACGAGTTTGT